ACGTTTTTTTGGTTGGAAAAATCCGCTTTAAACTATCTTCCATAATTAATTCAAACTCGTTAAAATTAGCAGAGAATTAAAATTAGAAGACGACATACTGATCCAATTCCACACATGAAATCTCAATAGTTCGTTCAGTAGAAAGATCTGTGATATCCTTACACTCTTTAAATTTTAGGTTCCGTTCAATAGTAATCCTCCGCCTCTACTTCAGTTCTTTCTTATGAACGAACTGACTATTACATAATTTTTTATGTTATAATTGCTTCATAGTCTTTCAGCCAGTGTTCTGTAACACAAAACACGTGAACGGAAATATCGTGCAAAAAAAGGCTTATTTCTAATGTTTTGCAAGAAAAGCCTTGAATATTTTGATGTACTACATGAAAACGATTAGACTTTTCTGTTGTCGGTTTTTCAGCTTTAATTATGGTTAGTAAAAGTAGTATAATGTTGCTACTTAAAGTAGGAGCTTGTCTTGGGACTGTGTTATATCTTCTATAACAGCATCCATAATATTAAAAGATAGCAAACTAGCTATATACTTTACGGGTACAAGTAAATTATCCTCAAAAAGTTTGAAGTTCCTTAGGAACTTATTAATGTCAAAACAAAATATAGCGTCACTATGACGGCAAGTCAAATTATGAATATGCAAACTCTTTGGCAATACAGTTTGTTTCATCTGACTGTCACTTGTTTTTACATTGTGGCGTCATTTTAGAGATTGGTTGTCTACATCGCCATGGATTTAACTCGTGAAAATTTTCGTAGTATGATTTTCTACGACTTTAAGTGTAAGTTAACAACTCAGCGGAGCTTCGCTCGGCTTCAACCTGCTTTTGGCGATAAAGTACCATGCAAGAGGACTATTTATAGCTTGTTTGCAGAATTCAAACACGGTCGTGTGAATCCCAGTAACGAATTTCGTGATGGTCGCACGTCCACTGCTGTGAACAACAAAAACGTCGGTGCTGTGCGCCGTGTTATCAAAACAGGCAGGCATGTGACACACCATGAGATTCGGGCATCGTTAGGCATAGGTATGAACAATCAATAACTACACAAACATTTGAGTGTGAAAAAGCTGTTCTCTCTCCACACAATTTGACTGAGGCTCAAAAAACGGATCGCGTCACTTGGTGCAATGCCATGCTTACCAGATTCAACGGAGGGGCGTCAAATTTGGTGTGGGACATAGTAACAGGTAACGAAATATGGATTTATAGTTACGATCCCAAAACAAAGCAGCAATCGAGCATATGAGTCTATCGAGATGAGCCGAAACCAACCAAAGTGGCGCGCGTACAAAGTGCCTCTAAGGGGATGATTGCTTCTTTTTTTAATAAAACTGGACACATAGCTACTGTTGCTTTGGAGACTCGTTGTACCGTGAATAGTGATTGATACACGACCATTTGTTTGCCGGAAGTTATTGACAAACTCCGTAAAAATAACCGTGAACGCCGTATCATCTTGCACCACGATAAGCCAGTTCTCACACGGCCAAACATATAAATGAATTTTTGAAGGTGAACAACGTTGACCTTATGAGCCATCCCGCATACAGTCCCGACCTGGCACCTTGTGACTTTTATTTATTTCCAAAAATTAAGAACCAGTTACGCGGTCAACGATTTTCATCACCTGAAGAAGAAGAAGAGGCTGTCGACGAGTATGAAAAATATGTTTCAGAAATTGTCACGGTGGAGTGGCATAAATGTTTTCAAAATTGGTTCATTCGTATGAAAAAGTGCATTAAAGCTAACGGAGAATATTTTGAGAAACAATAAATTAATTTCTGACCATTTATAGTATTTTTTTCTTATTCATTCCGGAAACTTATAGTGCGTGTATACGTGTACGAGATCGGGATAAATACACATTCAATCGCATTTGATGTGCATTTACGTTGATTAGCGTGAGTGTTTAACGTCAATGCATCTTTCTTTTTAGTCCATTTTAGTCAGCATTTTGTGCTGGTATTTCTTTAATTATGCCGGTAGGGGAGATATCTCTTATTTATTATTTATTAAATTACATTATACAGGGTTTTATGAAGGCGACTCATTCTCTCGAATAAATTTAAAATTTGTATATTTTAAACTACTTTTTATCCCACTAGCAGATCCGAGGTTTAGCCAAATCCAGTTACCTGCGAATATTTCATAGCAATCGAGCATGGAGCGCGCATCTCGTCCCATTGAGTGCGTTTACGAAGCACGCTACAAGTAATTAACGTCGTGCTCACGGCCCGTGGTCGTAATTGGACGGAGCTCGAGTGATCGGGCGGCCCAAGCGTTGACGCGTCGACAACGGACTTTTGAATATTAATGACTTCGAAAGCTGAAAAAACCGGCCAATAACGTGTAAAAACGGAATTTGTAGTTTTAGTAATTTGTGCAGAACGTTGAAGTGTATTTTTATGTTCCTTTTTCACGTTTTAGCTGCAAAATTTAAATGTACTGTGGTAAAATTACGTACGTAGCTGTAAAACATGGAAGCTTTATCGTATAACGAATATTTACAATTTATTCAGTCATCGATTTACTTGACTGAAAATTCGAAATTTTATTTTCAATATTATGATTCACGCCAAATAAAACTTGATATGATATCTCTAGACTACGGCTAGCGAAGCCTCTAGGCAATTTAATTCACCGGAAAAATTTCCAGTATTTGAAATTTTTCGAAAAATTACCCAATAGTAGACTTAACTCACCATAGCGCACCAAGTCAAAGGCCTCAGACAATTTAAAATCCCAAGACTTCACGCATTACTTACTATGCATTTTTAAATTAGCTTTTTCACCTTCCGCGAACGTTGAAGGTTAATAAATTAATATCATGTTAGTATCCGGCGATGTCAGAAATGTTAATGATTTATGTTCCCTCCGCTTATACTTATTTCTTTTGTAGTCTGAATAAATGTCAGCTGACTTGTAGGTAATAAATTATCTGTCAATGTCTTAATAAATAATCCTATTCAAGACATCTAAAAATTACGTTTCAGCCGCATTTTTTAATAAATTACGTTTTTTTCAACTTCGTTAATTATTGTCATCGTAACTATCAGGTCGCCTTAGTCCTCTGGGCACTCCTGAAGATTTACGCATCTTGTTACTTCCAAGTTACGCAGATAGTCGCGCCGTCTTGCACCAGCGATTATGGGTTCTTTCCTACTCCCTCATGTTTAAAGCTATGTCGGTACTAGTTCTCAGGTGAGTCACTACATTCTAATGATATCTCTGAGAGAAAGTCTGAACTTCGTCATTTCCTTAGCATGCTGTGCAACTTTCAGTTATAAACTAGACATGAGTCATTACTTGAACGACGTATCTCTTAAAAAAATTCCACTTCCCATTTTCTCTACGAAAAATAATTAATAATTATTAATAATTTCAAAACTTGCCTAAATTAACTGGATCCTTCTATCGGCTCCATTTGAAGCTATATTTAATGCAACAACAACAATATTTAAATTCAATTCAAATTATTTTTCTTTTGTATTAGTTTCAAATATAAAAGAAAAATAAATTGTTATATTATACTATAATAATATAATAAATAGTCAACTTTCGGGAAATTAACTTTAATGTTTCTGAAAATAGTTTCAATTGTGCGATATTATAAAAAAATTAAACGAAATTATCAACAGTAATATGTATCCCAAAATTTAGCATTTTTGGTAATAATGAAAAGGTAACTGAAATACGTTTCTACGTACGGTAGATTTTCTTTGCTATAGCAAAAGTATTATTCATTGAAACTGGCATCCGCTCCATCTATTATCAAGTAATGCACTTGACTGCATCAGGCACAGAGACAGTAAAAGTATTCAATGTTGATTTTGAATTTATATTCTCGAACAATGAAATGCTTTTAAATCCATTAACCAGTAGTTACATTCGTCAAAGGGTCGACAGCGGACGCGAGTGTCTCCTTCCCTATCGTCGTCGGGACCAGCCCCTGCAGCAGACAACGTGTGCGGAACTCGATCATTAGTGTGCTCACTCAATGTGAAAGCGATTTCGTCCCACTCGACTCCGCCTCTTTGAAACTAGCGCAATATTGTCGAAAGAAGGAAAACTCTTTACGAGAAAAAAAATACCAATGCCGCAGCGAAGAAAATGAGAACGAAATGCTAGCATCCAATCGAGCGAGTTGCGTCGTCTGCTCGCTTCCGCGTTTACGTTATCGATGACATTGCAGCCGGAAATGTTCCGGTTGAAAACGAAAACGCAAACCGCCGTGTTCATATAGCCTCCCGCCCGCGGCTCTAACTCCGTTGCGAAACAACTTTGTTACAACTCCTCTCTGTTTTGTTTCTCGCCTGCAATATTAGTTTTAGTCAAAAAGCTATTTTTCAACCCGTCGAAAGGCTTGTAAACTTTTCTAATTTAGTTAATTCATACTCGACGTTTCGAGAGGCGCTGCTCCAGTTTTCTTTAGATGGAAGATAGCAGTTTTGGTAAAATATTGCCTTGAGGAATTTTGGTTCCGATTGGCAAGATAACATCGATGCAAATTCGGCGCCTTATGACTTTGCAAACGATCAAGTTTGTGGTGTTATTGCTCTACTTTGTTCTTAATGGAAATTGAAATTGTTTCTATTGATTACCGGTTCCAAATAATTTACCGTGAATTTTGTAAAATAGAATAGAATCCTTCTTTATGCAACGGTATTTATCCAGCACTAGCAGTTATTAATAATTAATAAACACATGAAGATATAATGCTAAATTTTTTTTATGAATATCATTATATATAATACTTATAATAAATATCAGAAACACAGTTGCCAATTGTAATCTTATATTTGTGAGTGGTAACTAAGCAAACATAAATTCAAAATGGCAGCCTATTTTGCTAATTTTATTTTCACTTTTCTAAATTTGTATTACGAATACGAATTTATTGGCTTTTGATTGTTCCACTCCATTTTGCATCTGAAAAATGTACCTAATAACTAAGATAGTATACGATGTGATTTGTTACAGGTGCTTTTGTTCCCGGAGGAAGGTTGGGCGCGGAGTGCGTCCTCCTCTTACTGGACGCTACAGCCTTGCTGGTGGAAACGATCGCGCTGCAAAGTCGTTGAGGTGGCCGGCACTAGAAGGTAAATTATAATATTATCTAGATATTAAAAGTATACGCACTATTCAAACTATTAAAGTGCATAAAAATAATGAAAGTAAAAAAAAAGTAAAAATGATTCCTTCAATGACACAAAAAATGTTCACTTTATCACGAAATTCCATTTAGGAAAAAGCTGAATGTAATAACTTCCTGTACTGTAAGTGTGTTTATAAGTGAAAGCACAATGCTAAAGTTTTAACGGCCTCTAACGGTACAGTCTTCTTTTTAACTTCTTACCGATATTATAAACTTTCACATCTTTGTACTGCGTGGCCTAGTATCCCGTGAAAAACGGTATATTAAAAGGTCTAAACAAGACACAAAAGCAAGTTAATTTCACAACTATAAAACAGCTATTAAGTTTCATTAACAACAACTAAAAAACAAAACAACTTTGTATAACGAGCGAGAAAAGGGGAAAAATGAGCATTATAGTCCCGGAGCTGGGAGCAGGAAACAGTTGATCATTTCGGCGCGGCATTAACGTGGTTTCGCAATTAACCGCGCCTCAGGTGCTGCCCGCCACGTCGCTGACAAACGACCGGAACTACCGCCTTATGCACCGCCTATGAGAGAAAACATAATAAATTACAAACGCATTTTAAACGTGGAACTTATAAACGTGAAACCGATGTACTTTAAATTGTGAAATTCTATAAGACACAAAATCTGTATTAATAAGTTTGTAATGTGTAATTTGTAGTGTGTAATGTTTGCTTGGCTAGGCATAACCGACTCATTGTCCTATATATACCAACATAATATACTCGTACGGCCCAATATTGAGTACAAGATTCTGTTGAAAAGGGTCCGGGCAGTCACACCAACGTAAGCCAGGTGCTTTACTAAATCATTATTTACTGCGATAACGTCTTCCTTATATGATATATTTCAGTTTAATTTTACAAACAGCTCTTGTACTTAATTTATATTCACATAGAGATTCTTGATTTTTTTTAAAGCAATATAAGTTAGGAAATATAAATTGTATTTTAGTTTTCGTTTGGGAATTGATATTTCAATTTTATATTATATTGCTATTGCAATAATAGGAACTAATAAGATGTATTCTCCATGTATTTTGCATTGTTTCTGTAATTTGCAGTTTTCACCGGTTCATAAAGAAATTATATAGGTACTCAAGCAATTACGAACGATTCATAACGACGATATTAAAAACGCTATATCATATGTTTAAAGGTAAAACCACATAAGTGACATTTAAACAAAAAGTCTTTAATTAATATAGCATGGCAAGAAACTTTCTTCTTCACGTGAAACTCAATAACAAAAAAGCTATAAACTTAATAAGAGTTTTATCTGCAGAAAAATGATGATTTTCTTACAACACTTATGTGGTTTTACCTTTAAACAGACGAATTATAAACATTGAAAATATTAAATTTAGTGAATATCACGACGATGTTTTACTATATTACTATATTCAATTATTTTTTGTAAAATTACTCCAGTAGTTTGTTATAATTATAAATGCAAAAATCGAACGCAAAGAAAATTTCATTCGATCCGGCTGGACGCGAACCAGCGCCTTCAGCATTCCTTGGCCGACGCTCTCTCAACTGAATGAAGCGAGCCAGCAGACCTTACGAATCTTTTCATGCAGTCAACCAGATCAAAGCCAAAAGCGTTGCAGCCAGATCAAAGCCAAAAACAAACATCTGCAACTTTACGGCTAAGTTAAAGCTTAAGTTACGTTCGATTATAGGTTTTAGTTTTATTTTTTTCCAGTACAAAAAACATTGTGTATTGATTAGCTTCACGTATACCTCAACACTATTATATTACAGAACTAGGCATCGCAAAAATACACATAAGTAAAAAGAATTTACAAAACTTGTACGAAATTCAAGTGTTGTTAATATCACAATATGAAACTCGTGTGACCTGCCAAAAAAGTTTGCCAAGAACCGAGTGCACAAGTCTCCTACAAATCATAAACAGCGGGTACTTTAAAATACGAGGTGCGGGAAGTGGGTCACAATAGTCGTAAGTAAATATACAGTAAGCAAAATATACGACAGTACAAACAATACATATTAATTTCATAAAATAATATCAAATATTTTATAGAAATAGAATATAAATAGAATCCATTTATTGCAACGACACACTATAAAAAAGGGACAAAAAAATACAAATATAAATAAAAATAGTAATAACATAAAAAAATCAGAACAACAAGTTACATAATAGCTCTATACTGACACACAGTGATATGTGCGGCTGTGGCGTATGTAAAAGGAACTCATTCAGCTAAAGTCAATACCAAGACTTGGCTGTGACGCTGGTTTTCAATGAGCCGAGTGAGTAACGGATGTATGTTAAAGAACTATTGGTTAGACCACTTTGGTTTCGTTGGAAGAAATTACTACTTTTAATATTTACAAATGTTAAACAACTTCGTACTCAGATTTATCTTGTTTAACTGATTAGCAACCCCGCAGCAGAGTTTGGCACTAAGTTAGTATGCAAATAATAATAATATCATGCAAATAAAGCGATTTAGTAGGACTATCTTCCTAATTGATATAGATTAAGTTGTCCCGTTGCTTGATGTACCGTGAAGCGTTGGATTGCAAATTTGATATTATCTAAATTCTAATTGACAACAATTTTTTAACGAAAATTTTTTGACAAAAATTTTATTTAATGTTCAAAAAGTAAAGATGATGCTAAGTCGTACCCATGGTATAATAAAGCCACATGTGATCATACATCAAAAGTGCTTGCATCACTAGAAAGACATAAAAACAATACGAACTACATGAAACAAATTATTTACATGTAAAATTTTATAATCCTGCTATTAAAGTACAAAAAATGTATCTACTAGATTTTCGAAAGAAAGAAATTTAGAGGATTCAAAAAGGCTATTGAGGTATGGTGTTACCGTCGCATTGGTTGGACACAGAGGGTCGCGAACGAAACCGTGCTTCTGCGTGTTCATATGTCCGAGAAAATTATGCCATCTATCAAAAGGTGCAAAATATAGTATTTTGATCACGTGATCAGGAACGGTAGATACACGCTGCTACAGCTGATAATGTTGGGCAAAGTGCAGGGAAAGAAACGCGCTGGGCGAAGAAAGAAATCGTGGTTGCGGAACATCCGGGAGTGGACCGGCATTGCCTAGTCGAACAGCTGTTCCGGTTGGCTGCTGATAGAGACATACAGGAAGCTGCTGCTGATAGAGACATACAGGAAGCTGCTGCTGATAGAGACATACAGGAAGCTGACGGCCAACTTTCAGGATTGAAGAGATCATTCATGAAATCTTTAAGCCTCTCTCGTGAAATGTTGTCATTTTATAGATGTGACTTTATTACATCATAAGTAGTATCGTGTGTAAATATGTTTTTTATAATATCAAGTGACGTGACGAACAAGCCATGCACCTGGTGGTAAGCAACACGCCTATCCATAACAGTTGCAGTGCTATTCAGAGCTTTAAATCAAAGATTTTAGGGGCACTTCCACTGCGCCCATCATCCTGAGACATAAGTTGACAAGTCCCATGTACCTGTAATTTCACCAGCACCATTAATGCTCACATTGCTGCTTGGCGAGAGAAATAGGTAAGGTGACAGTACTTCCCTAGACAAACTCTTGAACAAGTTCTACTGCTACTAAAAAAATGTAAGGATCAATAAAGTGTTTATTAAATTGATTTGAGTTTTAGCAGTTACATAATTTACAACATAAATAATTTTCCTTTAACCTAGCAAGGAACATATCGCACTGTTAATATAGTGTATTAACTCAAAAAAAAGGACTTTCTCAGAATCGAGTGTAATGAATCAAATCTTACGTTCAGTAATGACATAATATTAAATTTCACGTATTTTGAGTTACAACACTATTAACAATAGTAATAGCATGCGATATTATGTATGCTCATTCAATTATTAACTACATTAATGGAATCCTTTGTCGAAAGTGGTCATTTAACAGATATGGCTTCATTAGATCAAGTGCAAAACTTTCGAGATAAAATTTCGAGATACTTAAAACCTTCTTCCAATTGCGACTCTCATATTAAAACATTCTCTTGTGAAACAAAATCGTTAAAAAAGGATTTCCCTCGGAAAAATGTCGAATCCACGAACGGCTAAACGAGTGTCGTTAGCGTTAACGATTATTGCTCGCCGTCCCACTATTCTGCCTAAATTACTCGTTTCTCATGATATTACTTTCAGATACCTCTTACCTGTCCCTTCATTGTTTTTTTCAACTACACTTTGTGTGTTAGTGCATTTTGGCCATATAAATTATACACTGACATCACATTCGTAGCCACATAAAAATGGTACTTCCCTAAATGATAACCTATACATGTGTACATTTACATTGTGTAGCTCAGATCTTCTCAATAAAGAGGTAATTTTCCTTAAAGCTGGTCTAATGCGGGTTGGAACATGCATTGTCATAAGATAAATGTTCCGTGACGCCAGCAACTTTAATTTAGGAAAATTCTGTTGTCGTATTTGCCTAACACAAAAATGTGTTGGCTTGAACAAAATTTTATTAAAAAGCGTTCGTTTTTCAAAAAGTGGAGTGTCTTATTACAAATATGATACTTTGCGGAAAGCAAACGTAAAGCAGGACTATTAATAATCTCAGTACAGAGTACTAAAAAAGCCAACCTCAAAAGTAAGTGGAATTACGTCTATTTGCTAAGTTTTATTGAAATATCCCCTAGTTCGCCATTATACAGAACTTAACACTGGAGATAATAAAAGTCGGTTCTCACTACTCAAAGTATATTGAGAGAAAAACGCCTTGAATTGGAGAAATAGCAAAATCAGTCATTAAAGTAATTGCTCCTAAATTAAAATTAGGCGCTATTTATAAAAATGAATCTTCATGCGTGAATAGCCACCCTTCGAGGTGGATGCTTTTCTTCAAAATGAAATGGGACCACTATGGAAGTACCCCCTTTCCAACAAAAAAAGAACGAAACGAAACGAAATTATCTTCTAGACACCCATTGCAGAATCAATTTAGAAAAGTTTTGTTTCTCAAATCGAACCGGGAAATTCCTCACCCAGTACCCGCAATACTAACAGCTAGGTCACCGAAATCATCAAAATTCATTGCTTGCAGATAACATAAGATAAGATAATAGATTTCTTTTTAATGAGTAGACATACGGGTCGTTCTTATCTCTCTGTTTATTCCATAGCTATACAAAACTGTTTAACACGAGTATATCGTCTCCCCTCGTTTTAATTCGGCAGTTTGCAAACTCTAAACGCTGCGATTACCAAAGAAAGTAGTGCAAAAGTGCGCATAAAGGTTTTTAATTTGTTTGAACCGAGTTGCAGGGCGTAGGGCGTTGTTTGGTGGTATTAGGGGCGGCCATTACAGCGGCCGTTAGGGCTGACGGGCTACGTGGAGCCTCCGCGTCCTACTAACTGGTATACGTGATCTGGGTGCTAAACAAAATCTCTGATACTACAGCGAGAAGCTAGAGTCAACGTTGATATTTTCTGTTTTTAAAAAATCTTGACATTTTATTTTCTGATGCAACTTATCGACTGTGAAGCATCTGATTTATTAGATAAAAATGCGTAGTTTTTAAATATTTTTTATTACACATAGGTACACCACGTATTTTTATGTAATAAAGTAGATTCTATATAAATGACACAAACAATGTTTTTCTTCATCGTGTAAAATTGTCAAAATTGAGATAGTACCAATTGCCAGTTCACAGTCGATATACCACCTGGGTTGGTTAATATCATAGATTTAGTATGTAGTACCTATATACTAAATCTATGGTTAATATGATATTGTAGCGTCAGTAGTTCTAAAGAACATTTTGGTCATGGAAGCCAAAAGTTTTTAGTTTAGGTTTTGCAAAGATTTTAAATGTGGTATCAAATTCAATCTTATAGATTGAAGTTATTCTACAAACACAACTGTCTTTCAGCAATCTTTTCAAAGTAACGATGCTAGTTTCCAGTACACTCAGAAGCCTATTCTATATTCTATTCGAGATTCCATTCTCTCGCAGAATGTTATTATCAACACATCATATACACCATAAAGTATTACATTTTTTATATTGTTATTATTTTTTATATTGTCGATTGTATCGCAAATTCATGAGACCGTTGGGTCATTTACGTCCAAAATGTATACAAAAATAAAAAAGAATGTTTAATAAAGTTAACAAAATTCTTCTTTACAAATTTTCCTCTGCTCATTCATGACATACTTACATCAATAAATATTTTATTTGTATTCCACACTTGTTTTTAAATCGGTCATAATGTTTAATTTTCTTTTGATGCAGGCACAACACGCACGCTAGTATGGTCGTCAGTGGAGGAAACGCCGTCTACATTATTGGCACTTTCAAACACATTGGAATTGACGCAGATTTTAAGGTATTCATGTTTTTTATATTTTACAATAATGTAGAATCTTCAAAAGGCGTGCGAGCGCTTCCAGTGACAATTTATTGGCCTCCATACTGTATCCGCTATTTTTGAGGTTGTCAACTATACTGGCTTCCTTATCATAAGTGACGTAATCGACATTTTGAGCAAAATTGAGGCAAAGGCAGCGTAATTGATTAAATGACGTTTTTGAAAGAAAAAAAACTTTGCATGCCAATATTTCGATAGTTACCCAAATGCAAATGCCTTAGTTATGACAAGGTAGGCAGTAAATTAGTATTTTTGCAGACTAAAAAGTTTAATATTATCTCTTATAACACTATAGATTTGAGAAAATAAATGAACCTTGTTCTGTCGCCAGCTATACCTAACAACGAACGTGACCCAAGCGGACTTCAATATGGGCTACATGATGACCGGCACTCTGGAGCGCGGCTGTAGATCCACAAATACCTTCCAGGTCACGCACTTTGCTGTGCTACGCCGATGTGATCATGATGGCCGTCATCTTAAGACTTCTTAATCACTACATACCGTGAAGTTCAGATTTAATGGATGCAGTATCAAACAGCCATCTTGTCTAATTTGGCTAAGGGCATAAATCTATTTTTAGAAGAAATAATTGTGTATCTATGGTTTTATGGAGCACGCATTTCAAATACCTTTATTATCGAATCACTTATTGCCATAAATATTAAATAGCGAGAACATTTAAGCCATGCGTCATAGAGGTTCTCCAAACTTCTTCGCAATCGTTTATCATAAATAAATTACTGTATTTGTAAAAAGTGGTTTCAGAAGTGTCGGAAATTATCTATATATAGGTACTTGAATCCTACACCAAAGAAATCGGGAGACCATCAAATCAGAGTTTTCAGCGGTTCGACTTCTAATAATGGTAAAGTTTTATTGTTATTTTTTGTCCCAGATATTTTTTAAAACAAAAGTTATATTCAAGTAGTTTAAAATTCGTCAATCGTCCCCAGAACGAGCTGATATTGTGCTTACTAATAGAAACTTAGGATTAAATAATAATAAGAAAAAATGTGAGCCATCTGGAAACACTGCTAGTCGTTAATTTAAGTAGTTTATAAGATATATTGCCAAGCGATATTGTGATCTCGATATTTGTGTCGAAAGTAGTCAAATGTAATGTATTCTTTCGACATTTTTTTTATTGTAAAAAGCTACAGTAGGTTTAGATGTAAATAACGATTGAAATTGTATATGAAGGGCTTAAAGTAAACGTGTTAGAAATAATCATTTATTTTTTTATACGAATTAAGAGTTTTTCTCGTAGTTTCCTATTGTATAGAATGTGAAGTAGTTAAAAATCTTGATGTTAGGATGTGTTCAACGGTATTTTGTTCGCTTAAAAACAAAATTAAACAGGAGTCACACTGTACCTGGCTAAGGAAAAAAATCAACTAATTTAAATGTAAATTTGAAATTACGTAATATTAGTGCATTTGGATGAATAAATAAAATTAAATACATCTCTCGTCATCAATTCAATGTCGCCATGATTCTATTTAACCTATTTCCATCTGTACATTACAATTTCAAATTACATATCTACCCTTAATGAAATAACAATGACTTCGTATAATCCCACGTCATATGAAAACAATGAAGGCCGAAATAGCAGCCCCAATTACCACATTTTCCTGCTCATCGAATTGTTCAATATATAAATTTTAATTCGTTTTTAAAATGGCTGAGAGCGATGTTCTCTGTGTAAGCCACTTCACGGTCGACTGGTCAAAATAATAATATGTCAGACTACACATATTGATCCCGGTCGAAAAGCGTGCCCTACATATTTTTACTACGAAACTTGTGGATGCAATGAAATAATAATTTCGGCCGACCCTTTTTAAATATTACAAGTTTCTACTTCAACGTATTTATTTCATAGCATCGAATGTTCTCTCTTCTAAATATTGTGTAGGGCTTGTTAGGCTTCTAAACCTAAACGACAAAACAAGACTTCGGTGTACGTCTCCTACGCCAGATCTGTTTTTCTCACATACAATAGGTAATCCACTTGAAATTCATTGTTGTACAACTTGGTTGCCCGCAGATCAGAGAAAGATCCTTGAAAACTTAAAGTCCGTTCATTATGGGGGATCGAAATATGAAAAGGGAACAAAGAAAAACTCAAAAAAAAAAAGGTCTTTCGTAACTCATATAACATGTATTTATTTTTGAACGCGTAGCTTTTTTGAGTCTATATCATCATAAATCTGCAAAAAATGACCGTCCCTCCCCTATATCTGTTGTGTGTTATCCTAAACTCTGGAATAATTCAGACTGGTAGAAAGTCTGGTATTACAGAAATAAATAATAAAGCTATAAACATTGATTGTTTTGATAAAACAATGATAATGAAATTACTTTTTCACTGCGAGACAATTAATATGAAAGTCATTATTATCACATAAAGTACGGAGCTTTTGTTGTACGAATCCTACTCGCAATTGATCGGATATAATATTTTGTCAACAACAATTTTAAGTTTCTGTTTAACTAATGTCACTCCAATTTCCATACTTGTAATGTCACGCTCCTCATCTAGAAACTATAGGATTTTTCTCTTTCTTGTAGAACTATTTTGAAAATCTTTCGTAGCTTTTCCTTCTAAAAAAAACGTAAGGTCTTAGGTTAGATTGCCATCTTGTATTATCGTAGATAAGTGTTTAGTGTAAGACGTAAGTGTAAAAGGGTGTAACACAAACGTCCAGTATCGCACTCCCTCCAGTGTTAACACACGTTATTGTACAAAGTTACATGTATTTTAGTGGCTCCTATTTGGCTGTAAAGATTGTGTAACTGGTAGATTATGTATGGCAGATATAGTGGTTTCACAAAACATTGGCCAATTTCAGAGCCGTGCTTAATTTTGACTTAATTATTAACAAAGAAACTGATCTCTCTATATTAATTCTCTCTATAACAATTAGTATATACATTCATTATTTTATTGATACTGTGTTTCTTTAATAAGATATTTGTGTTGTATTTTTTGCTTGTTTCTATTTCTAAGTCTTAGCGACCTTACAGGGCACATGTAATGTAAATTTTATTATGTACTTGCATGTTCGCTAATAAATGAATACTGAGAAAAAACTAATTCCTCGCGGGGTTTAAGGACCGTCCGCTAAGTATCAGCGAGACGACGATCATAAGTAGGTATAACCATGGAATGACTAATAGTCTGTGAAACTAAAGTGCTCTCTTTAACTTTAAAGTACACTTACTTTACTTCTTCTCTTCACTTACTTCCAGAACACACGTTAAATTTTAAAAAGAAATTTTTAAACTGGACTAACGTTTCTATTGGTAATAAAAAATACTACAATTTGTGTATAGTTAAATCGAACCCTTATAAAAATTATTACGACATAATAGTTAAAAGTTATCGTGCACAGGAACGGCAAAAAATTTTAATTTTTCATAAGTGCTTTCAAAAATAACTCTTACACGTTTCTGCAGATCTTAACATGTATATAACTAAATTATGTCTACCGTAATATCAATTAAAATTAAGATTATCAAATATCATTTTTTGTGGATGCAACAAAGTGCCGATAAAAAAAGTTGATTTGCCCGTTTACGTCGCGCGACTTATAATATCCTAACGCGCCGTAATGTTCTGGCCACGCTGAGGCGGCCGCGGAAGCGTTCCGGGCGCGGGAATTTTTGTGATGTACGAGTTCATAATGAACCCTGCCACACTGAATCGCGCAGCGGCCGCGTGTTAGCCGTTCGGAACGCTTCCGCTGCCGCTTTGCTCTGAAATTTGTCTTAATAATTTCCAGACATATTTGCATATGAGATAAATTCTTTACACTTCTTATAGATACGTAATATATGTCAGCAATACTGACTCAAAGAAAAGTAGTGACATTTTTGAGTGTACCCCACTCATTACACAGTACACCCACCATTTAAGTATGCATGAACGTGGTAAAAAGGTTAAAAAGGACGACGTGTTGACGACTTGTTTATTACCATGAGAGTAAGGGCGCATTCAAATTAGCCACTGTTAGCCGCGCTGCAGCCGCGCGGCGGCTGCGCGACGTCCGCGCGATTGTCACTTTTCATACAATTTCTAGAAGCGCTGCAACCGCGCGTCATTCGCGCGACCGTCGCGCTGCTGCAGCGCGGCTAACAGCGGCTAATTTGAACGCGCCCTAAATCCCATTCTCCATCATAGCAAAAAATGTACAATGCAATACGTATTTTTCAAAATACAATATAAATCCGACAAAACAATGAAGCCAAATTAAGTTACCTATTGTTTAAACAACAAATTAATACACTGCACAAATCGGATTAAGTTTGAGCGAACAGCAGTGGTTGATTGCATTGAAAACGAATTAGTTCCCTGATTGAATTTGAAACCTGCTAATTATTGATGGCGTACGGGATCTCTTCTCTGTCTATTTCTATGTGAATATACGCCGTGTGTTCTCATTAATTGAGATGTGATTTACAAAGAGAAGGAAGGAAGGAATGTTAGTAGCAGTAGAACTCCTTGTGTAAGACTTCGTCCAGTGAAGCATTGCCACCTTACGTATTTCTGACGCAAAGCAGTAATGTAAGCATTACTACGTTCCGGTTTTGAAGGATAAGGGCGCTGATGAAATTACGGGCACATAGGACTTGTCGCCTTATGTCTTAGGGTGACGTGCAAAGTGGCAGCATCCCTCAGATCGTAGCATTGCAACTGCTATAGACAGGCATGGCGCTTAACACTAGACACACGGCGCGGTCACTGATTTTAATCTGTCTTAAATTCTTAAAACTAATCTTTTAAGGGACACTTTGACAGTTACCCCCGATAGTCACAATTCGCCGTTACCATTAATAAATCTAGGAATTTACAGTTTGATACGTAATACATTATTTATTAAATACACGGCTTTATTAGAAATAACTAAGACTCACTCATTGATGTATTGTAGTGTTAAACTAAGAAATTAGTGTCGTCAATGTATGAAACACCAAAGTTTATAGTCATAGCTTCAATTTTAAGTAAAGCACGACTGTTCCTCTAAGGTTTAAGTAACAATTATAACAATCATCCTGAAAAGTAGTTGTGTAAGTCGGCTCTAATATTGTATATAATGATTTGTGTGCGAAATTCAAAGCAATGTTTGTGTAAAATTTAATTGCAAATTTTGATGCCGCTACCGAGACTAATGGTTATCTTATTAATTTAACAAATTGACTGTAACAGTCGGATAGAAAAGCATAAAAGTGTTCAATTTTTTAACAAAATTTCAATTTTTTGTACCAATATACTGACACAATCATAAAAATAAATGCATAATTTCGTACAACATTAGAAGCAAAATCTGAAAAATTCCTTTTTTTACGAACAATATAATTAATCCTAGGCATTGAATTCCTTTGTTTATAATTTAATAACGCAACTATTATGTAACTAAGTGCCAAAGACCATTTAGGGAGCTTTTTACCGTAAGTTTTTCCTATTTTAGGCTATGAAATATTGTACATAATGTTCGCTTCAAATTTTAATGTTGTCTTTCGTATACCGGATGACTGGGAATAAACATTAAATATATTTCTTGTTTCAATCAACCCATACACCGAACCAATAACGGAAATCCTTTCTTTTAGTAACATAAAAACCTCATAAAATTTGATGAAACGAAAACTGCTGAAGCTAAATTAGTTAAGCAATACAAAGCTA